TTTACCTGGGAGTAGAGTTACATCATATCTCACAGGTTTTGATATACAGTATTTCTACCCCAAAAAAGAAAAAAACCAAACTCACTGCTGTCGAGTCCTTGGGTTTCCGAGGCAATAACTACAAAAGTATATTGCCCAATCTTCCTTCTGAGGAATAGGTGGCGGGTTTGAACCACCAGCCTTTTGGTTAGCAGTCAAATGCCTGAGGCACTATGCCACCAGAGCTCCTAGTATTTCTACAAAATTTTTTATTTCCTTTTTTTACTTCTTTCTTAATCCTATATTTAGGAGAGGGGGGCTTCTAGAATTCCAAGTAGTTGAGTCTTTTTAAAATTTATATCATAATTTCTAGTTGCACGATGTTGTAAAGAGATACATACACAGTTTTTGCTTTATAGATTTACTGAGATTGTCATAGTGACTGTTCTAAAATATGATTGATTTCTGATTCAGTGTCATGTATAAAAATAGGTATATTCTCTAGATTTCAGAAAATAATTCAATGTAATATACTTCAGCCTGTACTATTTATTATAGTTTTCAACTTTTCTATGCCATTTATCTTTGTTTACCTTCCACCTCTGAGAAAGGACATCTTCCCCAGAAGCCATCTTGTTTCCAATTAAGGCTATTCTCCTCCTACTTCCTCCTAATCTTGGGAGGTAGGAGGGTAAATGACTCAGGGTTAGTCAAGAATATTTGTTGGGGTGGACAATTATATTCATTTCCATCCTTACCACTTCAAGTCTTGGCTTAATGTTATATCAGCTTCTGAAATTATTTTTCTGCCTATTACTTGCATCACATGGGATGAAAAAATAAACTTTTATTACTACTGTATGTGTTCTTCACTCAGAGTTCTGGCTGGCTTAAATCACTTATAAAATATTAATGGGAGAAGCTACTTTTTATTCTGGAAAGACACTTCTGTCACATTCATTGAATGGCTCTATACAATTTAAAAGCACTCTTAGACATAAACAGATGAACTAACATTTGATATGTTGTTGCTATACTCATTCTTTTGTTACCATTTGCATAACATTACCTGTGAACAATGTGTGCCTTTAGAAGTGAAAGCTTTTAAAGCTGAGAGATACATAAATCAAAAAATTAATATATAAATGCATGGTTATTGTTTAAAAAAAAAAAGATATGGTGAAATGAATTTAGATAACATCACATTTATTATCTTTTGTAGTTAAATTTTATTCTAAAATGAATGCTTATGGAGCTATCTTACTGAGCAAAAAGAAAGTTGTTCAAACCCACAATATACATGAAAGAGATACACAAGCAATAGTATCTTAGTATTGGAGCTCTGGTGGAGTAGTGGTTAAATCATTTTGCGGTGGGTCAGCAGTTTGAACCTGCCAGCCACTCTGTGGGAGCAAGATGAGACAGCCTGCTTCTGTAAAGATTTACAGCCTTGGAAACTGTATAGGAAAATTCTCCTCTTCCCTATAGGGTCATTATGAGTAAGAATCAACTCGATGGCAGGGGACTTTTTACTTAAACAATTCATTTTTTGGGTGCAATTTTTAAAAATGAAGCCACCACTTTTGAGAATAACATTGAAATAGAATATGGTCATTTGAATTTGGTTCCTGGATCACTTTCTTCTACCATTACTATCAGAGAAAGTAGAAGTATTCAAAAACAAAGTAGTTTTCCTCACAAATTTTCCTGGTGGATAGAGAACATTTCACAATAATTGCTTTAACCTAATTCAATATATCTGTCTAAGACTCCCACATAGGTATATCTAAGTCCTGCTCATAAAAAAAAAAAAAAAAAAAAAAAAACTAGAATTTGACCTTTATGGGCCTCAGTTTCTTCATTTGTGAAATGAAGCATCTAGGTTACAAGACCTCTAGAGCCCTCCTGGTGTTGAAACTCTGCAAATCAATTGGATTATTATTGCTTTAGGATGATCAAGGGTATAGTAGAAAATCTTGCTCAAATACTCAAATCACTATACTACCTGGTTTTCTGAATAATAGAGTTCTTTGATTATTTTCCATCAACAACTCTGGAGTGAAGTTTAGTCAAGATCTCATGGGGATGTGTACACATCAGAATGTAGAGATCTCAGTAGCCAATCATGAGAGCCTCAGCTGCTGTCTCTGAACTAAATTCAAAGCAAGCACTGAAAATCAAACCCACAAAAATTCTCCATTTGCATGGCGTTTTTAATTCTTCCAACTTCTTTCAACATTCATTTCCTCAGTTTTATGCTCACAAAAATTAGAGGAATAGGTAGGGCATCTTATGCAAGTAGGAACCAAAGAACCCAGTGAATGTACTGTCCAAAGTGGCATAGCTGTCCAGTAACTGAATTAAAATAAGAACTTAGATGAATTAACTCCAAGCCCATTCTGACTCCAAAACATTCTGCCACTCTATTTTACAAAGTGAAATCTTTCAACACCAGTTTTCTGATTTATTTTTTTCCTGATAACTTTTCAGAACAATTCAGACAAATTTGTACAACTCACTAAACATAGAAATTCAATTAAGTCTCCTGTACTGCAAAGCCAAAGGAAGGATATATCATTCCAGGTGCTTTGATGGCTCTTTGGAGCTAGCACAAAAAGGGATCTTATAGAAAGCCATTCAGATTTTCCTGAAAATTAGAGTTATATTCTTGCCCATCTAAAAAAAAAAAAAAAAAAACACTCTGTCTGGTTCCACAGTTACAATGTTTTGACTAGAGAGCCAGGCCTGGAATTGGGAAATTCAGGAGACTTTTCTCCCTAGGGAGTTCTGGTGGCATAGTGCCTAAGGCATTTGACTGTTAATCAGAAGGCTGGAAGTTCAAACCCACCAGCCACTCCTCAGAAGGAAAACTGGGCAATCTACTTCCGTAAAGATACTGCCTCAGACACCCAAGGAGGGGTCACTATGAGTCACAATCGACTCAACGGCAGTGAGTTTGGTGTTTTTGATTTTCCTCCCTAGAATAGGAGCTCTGATGGCATAGTGGTTAAAGCATTCAGTTGCTAACCAAAAGGTGAGCTGTTGGAACCCATCAGCTACTCCACTGGAAAAAACATGAGTCAGTTTGCTTCTGTAAAGATTTATAGCCTTAGAAAACCAGGAGGGACAGTTCTACTCTGTCCTATATGGTCACTATTAGTCGGAATCAGCTTGATGGCAGTGACTTTAACCCAAGGAGGAGTCGCTATGAGTCGGAAATGATTCAACGGCAGTGAGTTTTCTTTTTTTTTTAAGGAAAAGAAGACACCTCTTGTAGTCATACCTAAACTATTGAATGTCTGCTCTTATTAGAAAACAGTGCAAATCCCAGCTCCACCACTTCTTAAACATGTACTATGCTAAGTAACAATTTCTCTGGGTCTCAGTTTCCTAATATTAAAATGAGAATAAAAATGGTTGCTGTGAGGATTCAATGAATTAACTCACATAAATCAGTTAGCATACCCCATAGGCAATAAGCAAGTAGTAACAGTTTACTCCTTAGTTTTATTAAACTATTTTAAAGTGTTTAGTTGTTGTTGTTATATACCATCGAGTCAGCCCAGACTCATAGCGACCCCTCCTTGTGTTTCTGAGGCAGTATCACTACGGAAGTAGATTGCCCAACCTTCCTTCCAAAGAGTGGCTGGTGGGTTTGAACCGCCAGCTCTGGTAGCATAGTGCCTAAAGGTACTTGACTGCTAACCAGAAGGCTGATGGTTCAAACCCACCAGCCACTCCTCGGAAGGAAGGTTGGGCAATCCTACTTCCGTAGTGATACTGCCTCGGAAACCCAAGGAGGGGTCGCTATGAGTTGGGGCCGACTCGATGGCAAATAACAACAACAACAACAAAGTGTTTAGAACAGCACCTAGTGAACAGTTAGTAATCATTCATGAGCTATGTTTACTGTTCTCAAAGTAAAACAACAGATGTTGGAAATGTAATTTTCCTTTACACAAAAGTTCAAAATTGCCCCAGAGTGTAAAACTTTGATGCACTTTATGAGGGACATTAGAAAATATAAGTTGAATTAATACATGCATTCACCTTATCATCTGAGATTAAAATTCATGGATTAAAAATATATATAGTGTCAACTATACTTCTTAGTTAAGTCCAGAGATCATGCTAGCATTCTTTTTCCTCTCTAAATATGAAGAAAGGAAGAGGGCAAGAGGTTACCTTGGTTTTTCCTAGAAAAATGAATTGGGCTAACTTACGTGAGTGAACAAAATTGTAAATGCTTGTGTTTATATAAAATGATTGTGCCCAACAAAAAGATGTTTTGTTTCTCCTGCTCAACACTTTAATTTGTGGCTTGACCAATAAGTAAGCAAAAGAAGGACCAAGCCAGGCAAACAAAAGGACCTGTTTTTGTTTCAGATACTTTATTTCAACCATTACACACACTTAAATCAAATTAAGGAGAGCAAACCAGACTAATGAAGGAAAAAACCCTAAACTCAAAAACAAGAATAATCCAGTGCTTTAACTTCATTCTTTGCCACTAAACAACTGAGTCAGCTAGATAAATCCCTTAATTTCTCTGGGTTTCTGCACATGTAAAATGTCCTAGATAATTTCTGAAATCTACAATCCTATTAGTTTTACTCATTTATACGCACTTTAGATTTCAGGGCTCAGTTTAATTCAGTTAATTTAATGCCTGTAATGTATGTAGTATTATTATGAATTTCTACTCTCAGCTTTCATTTTTGTCCTTTACCGTTATGAATCTCCTGTTTTACCATCAATAGGTGAACTGTATTAGGCAGATCCTATCATGCTCTAGAATAGTTTTGCTAAACTCTGCCTGCACCAGAATCACTGGGGAGCCTGTTAAACCATTTGCTGACCCCACCCCCAGAGGTCTAAGATAGGGGGAGAGAATTCAAATTTTTAACAAGATCCCAGGTGATCTGATACTACTTGTTCAACACCATTTCAGGAATGCTCCTCTGCAGAGCATAGAAATGTTAATAAACACCATCTAAGGACAACTGAGTAGTAAAAGTTACCTCAACGTAACTGTGAGAACAGCCGCTCTGGCCTCCCAGCTCCACACGGGTGACGTTGATTTGTATTTGTTCTCCCTGAGGTTGTTCTATTATATAAATGCATTGCCTGCTGTGCGTCAAAGGTCCAAACAAGTCAGAAAAGAGGAGCTCACCCTCTGGGTCTTTGTAGATCCCTCCACAAGGAAGATCCGCTAAGGAGAATAGGGAAGAGAAAGAAAAGGTCATGGGGGTGGCCACTCCTCTAGCTCCCAGCATCAAACACAATTTTTTAAAATTTACACACACACACTCATATACCCTGTGCAGGCTTATGCTTCTACTCATAAGATTTTCAGTTTGATATGTGTTTGTAGGATGTACAGGTAGTGTCTAGGGAAATAGATGTAGAGATGTGTGCTCTAACTTCCTGTCTATTATTCTCTTCTACAAATTGCTTTTAAAATACATTTATGTTGTGCTTCATTACAAAAGATTTGAGGCACTTCTTTATAAAATACATGTAACAAAATAAAATATAACTAGATAAATAAGATTAAAGGAAAAATAAACACAGAAGAGCAAGATGTGGTCAGGGGAAAATTGATATGCACAGAATACAAGGGCTACACAAATTGCAAAAGGTCAGCTGTAGATTCAGCCTGAAGCCAAAATAAATGGAGAAAGAGGACCAGTGAAGAGATGTTCATTGTTACTTTTTCTGCTACTGAAACATAAGAGATGTTTTTCCTATGTGTTTTCATCAAAACACAATGACAGATAACATAAGCAAAAGGTTATCAGTGTAAACTGAAAGCATAGTAGCTAATAGGGTTTCACTGGAAGAGAAAGTATAGGAGCCAGGACAGTGTGATCCTGGAACACAGGGCCTTTGTGCAGCTGGACTTGATCCAGCAATACAATATAAAGACTCTCAAATAGACTGCATTTCCACCAGGAACAACATCTCTCACAACAAAGCATCAAAGGATAGCTAGAGCACTGACATTGTGAGCAATTTAATTTAGCTGCCTCGCACATCTTTATCATGATGTGGATCCTATAACTTAGGAATCGGGGATACTATAGCCTAATTACATTGGGAAGAAAAAGAAAAAAACCTATTTACCACAGACAATTGAAGCTGGGTATTACTTAATGTCTATTTCAGTAATTCTGCAATATATCTAGGAGGGATATATGATTTATAAAGACATGTTATTAATCTAAGAAAATAAGTCATCTTCAACATCACATTAAAATATAAAACATCTATAAGCATAGCATTGTCCTTCAAATTCATATCAAGTTGCCAATTAGCATGTTACTTACAAGGTGATGTTAAGTAGGTGATATGGAACCCCCGATCATTAATCTGGGTGTCAGAATGGAAATGAATTCTGGCAAAAGGACCTGTAGTTTGGAGTGGTGGGGCAGAAAGCGTGGTGCAGAATTTCCCAAGAATGGGGTCCTTAAGCATAGGACCATCTCGAATCTAAAACAAAAGAATGTATCATTAAGCTCAAGGTGGCCAGATTTTGACAAACCAGGTCTTTGTTAACCATAGAACAACACATCATTTAAAAGTGAGTTGCTGTCCCATATTTATCTAGCACTCCTGTTAGTACAAGGTTGGGGGTTAGTAAAAGATAGTCTCTCTCTTTCATCACCTTTATGCCTTAATTTCTTTCTGAATTTCATTTCGGAGACTGGATGCATACTTTCAATTTTTCTGGTGCTGTTATTAGTCTCATTTAGAGTGTGTGTGTGTGTGTGTGTGTATTTCCCTCTAGGTTCCCCCCCCCAGATGTTTTGAAATGATAAATTCCAGTGGTGGTGCAATGGTTAGGCACTTGGCTGTTAACCAAAATGTCTTTGGAATCCATAGGCACTCCAGGGAAGAAAGATGCAGTAGTCTGCTTCTGTAAAGATTATAGCCTTAGAAACTCTATGGGCAGTTCTACTCTGTTCTACAGGGTCACTATTAGTGGGAACTGACTTAAGGACAATGGATTTTGGTTAGTAATCTAAAAGAACCAAATAAATATATGCAAAAAAAAGAATACCAGTGACATCAATCGATTCACAGCTTGGTCTAGGTATTCAAGAGGATCAGAAGTGGAAAAAGAAGTGAAGTCAGACAAGATGCAACATAAAGTCACTTAATGAATTTTAAAAGTGCAACTTTGATAGTAATTAAGGATTACAAAAATGATTGTGATCCTATGAATCCTTTTTAATTGTTGGTTTTTCATCTATTACATAATTACGTTAACCTCTCTGTAATTCTGTTGTAATTGCAAATTCTGTACCACTTAGAACACCAAGGAGTCAATGAACTAAACAGTGTTTTGCGACAATTCAGTCTATCCAAATTCCTTTTCCTGATAGCAAAGTTATAGGGCAGCATTACTCTAATCTTATACTTAACAAGTTCTTTGAAATATTGTAGCTTGAAAAATGAGAAACATCTTTCTTTCTTCCCTCCCTCCCTTCCTTCCTTCCCTATTGTGATTTGGGTGAAAATTTAGAGAGCAAATTCACTTTCCATACAGCAGTTCACATACACTTTGTCTCATGACATTCACCACGATTTACCACAATGCAACAACTCCCCTCCAACTTCCTCCCAACAGTTACCTTTTCCCTGTGTCCATCCCTCCATGCACTCCTGCCCCCTGAGCTATCTCCCTGTGCATAAGCAGCCCTTCTTTCTCCCATAATTGTTCTCTTTAAGGAGTGTGTCTATCTCAGGTAAATAAATGTTCAACTCATATGCTTGTCTTTTGTTTGACGGGAAGCCACAGGTGTGGGTTCATTTCCAGACCTGAAGAGCAGCTAGGGGCCATAGTCTCAGTGGTTCCACCAGGCTCTATCAGATCAGAAAACCTGGTCTCTTTTTTTTTCCCTCCAAATGATTTTGAGTTTTGTTCCACATTGTTCTCCCTCTCTATCAAGGATTCCCCTCCAAATGGTTGTCAGTGGTAGCCGGGCACCATCTAGTTCTTCTGGTCTCATAGTCATATAGGCTGCAGATCGCATGGTGTACCAGTCGCTAGGACTAATTGTTTCCATGAATTTTTGGTTTTCTTCATTCTTCTTTGCTCTGGATGAGGAGAGACCCATCGTTGCATCTAGATGGCTGCTTGAAAGCTTTCAAGATCCCAGTTACTACTCACCAAAGTAGGAGATGGAACAATGTTTTGTGTAGTATGTTATGCCAACTGAGCTTGATGTCCCCTGCGACTATGGTCCTGAGTCCACAGGTTCAAACTACTCCGTCCCTCTGGGTAGCTGGCTGTGACCAAGAAGTGACTACAGCCTTGCCCCTTGTCAGCTCTACTATATACCTGGGAATTCTGATCATTCAAATAAACTTATAGGACCACTGTTTGCCAACCCTACACATGGTCTTGGGTACACTCCCCACTTCATAGACATAACTACTAGTTCAGCCTGTCCACCCATCAATCCACCCTTATACCCATGTTTGCCTTCACTGACAACACTGTATTGTATGCGCGAAAGGGTTCATCTTTGTTGTCTGTACCTCCCACTTACCTCTTTATGTCTTCCTCTTCCTCAATGCCACCATGTTGATCACACACATTTGGTACATTGCCCTTCTCTTCACTTATCTCTACCTATCTAACCGTGTTCCCTATCCTCCCCTCCCACCCTTGGTAACCAACAAAGAAAATTTCCTTCCATAGATAAACCTTTCCTTGACTTTTACAATAACGGACTAATACAACATTTGTCCTTTTGTGATTGACTTATTTCACTCAGCATAATGTCCTCAAAGTTCACTCACATTAAAACACATGTGATGTTTTGCAGATTCTCAGTTATTCTTTAGGGTTACATAGTATTCCACAGTATGTATATACCATAGTTTGGATATCCATTCCTCAGTTGATGGACACCTAGGTTGTTTCCATCTTTTGGCTATTGTAAATAGTACTGTGATGAACACGGGTGTGCATATGTCTGTTCTTGTCATGGCTCTCACTTCTTTAGGATATATTCCTAGTAATGGAATGGCTGGGTCAAATGGTATGTCTAATTCCAACTTTTGAAGGAATCGCCATACTGCTTTCCACAGTGGTTGTACCATTTGACAGTCCCACCAGCAGTGTATGAGAGTTCCAATCTCTCCACATCCTTGCCAGCATTTGTTATTTTCTGTCTTGCTGAACTTTGCTACTAGCGCTGGAGTAAGATGGTATCTCATTGTTGTTTTGATTTGCATCTCTCTAATAGCTAGTGATCGTGAGCATTTCTTCATATGTTTGTTGGCTGCTTGAATATCCTCCTTGGTGAAGTGTCTATTCATGTCTTCTGCCCATTTTTTAATTGGATTGTTTGTTTTTTGGTTATTGAGGTATTGGAGTTTTCTATAAATTCTAGAGATAAGTCCCTTGTCAAATATGCAGAGACATATTTCAATGTTTCTCTGCATTTCTCTGTCAGAGTGATTGATGATTTTTTTATTAAACATGTATCCCAGAATTAATATGTAGAAATGAATGAATGCCTCTAATTTATATTTGAAGGACTTTGTTAAAAATTCATTTCAATAAAATTCATTTCAATGTCAACATTTAAAAGAATATTTTGCTTCAGTTTTGCAAGGAAAGGCAGCTTTTCCAGTCATTCCCAAACATTTCAAATCTATTATTAAAAAACCAAACTCACTGCCATCGAGACAATTCCAACTCACAGTAACCCTCTTTGGGTTTCTGAGGCAGTAAATCTTTACGGAAGTAGATTGCCTAATCTTCCTTCCACAGAGTATCTGATGGGTTTAGAACTGCCAAAGTTCTGGTTAGCAATCAAATGCCTTAGGCACTATGCCACCAGAGCTCATTACTAAAACTTTAACATGGAGACTCATGTTTTCCCGCCTCACCCTTCCATCCTTTATGAATAATTCTGTGGTACTCCATTCTTCTCTAATGGATTTTGAAAAAGTATTTTATCACTCCTTAAAAGGGTACTGAGACTGATGTTGGAAAAGAGTACAGGAACAATATAAGAACTCAATCTTCTCAATGATACTTTTAGGCTACAAATTGAAAGCAACATTTTTGATGTTATCAATTAGATGGCATTTGAGTGTAATAGCCTTTTGTCCTCCTCCAAGTTTTAATCATTTACCAGTAGTAGTCAGGAAGGGTACAGGCTTGATTCTCTCTTCCCAATGAGAGTTATTTACGTTTCAGTGGGACTCATCATTTATCGACCTATTTCAATACATTCACTATTGACTTATTTTCACTATGCAACACCATGGTCAACTTGTAAAACTAAGTTTACCACAGACAACTGAGGATAAGTTAGTCTGCACTGAGAAGATGACAGTTATTTTGTGTATATTTCATTTATTAATACCCATGTTAGGGGCCTAGGCTTCCAGGAAGTACCTAGGGGAGGTAAGACAGTCTATTTCCTGGATTCAAAAGAAATCCAGAAGAAGAAGCAACAAATTGGCCTAATTAAGAATAAGGACTCAGTAAAACTTCGACTATGGCTATGGGCAGAGTGCTAACTAGCTAACAAAAACTAAAACTAGATTAGTTAACCCTTGTAAATAAATTGTGATCATTCATGGCCATCACCAAACCATAATCTTCTGATTGTTATACGGTCAATCTAAATACAATTGCTTACCTCAAGGTAATCTTTACTACAATCATCATGGTGCTCCAGTCTCAATGTTCCAAAAGTAAATGTTATCAGGAGGCCAGGACTGCTCATAACTTTCCAGACACAATCTCTTCCAGAGGGATAGTTCCCAGGATATCCCGGAGATGTAATTGAACCATAAGCACCAGTCACCATACCTCCACACTCTAAAATTGAAAGGAAAAATGACTTTGCATTTTCATACAAGATAAAATTCATGTAGAATTATTATAACTTTTGCTCTAAGAAGCTGAATTTCATTTAAATAACTATGAGACATTTTGGACATCTGCATTAATTAAATAAAATTTTCAGTTTTCCAGTTTTATAAATCAGAAAGCTGTAAGTATCAAAAAAAAAAAAAAAAAGGAGCTCTGGTGGCATACTGTGTAAGGCATTTGACTGCTAACCAGAAGGCTGGCGATTCAAATCCACCAGCCACTTCTATAGTGATAACTGCCTCGGAAACCCAAGGAGTCGCCACTATGAGTATCGATAGACAAATAAATAAATCACCTGCACATTGACCATAGCAGTTTAAAAAAAAAATCACATTAAAAAAAACTCACTCCCGTGAAGTCAATTGGACTCATGTGACCCCCTCTTTGGGTTTCCAAGGCGGTATCACTATGGAAGTAGATCGCCCAACCTTCCTTCCCAGGAGTGGCTGGTGGGTTTGACCCGCCAGCCTTGTGTTTAGCAGTCAAGTGCCTTAGGCACTCTGCCACCAGAGCCGATATGGTAATGGTATTTAAAATACATTACTGAACAATCTAAGGGATAAATACAAATTGCTGTCCAGCCATTTCTGACTCACGGTGATGCCATGTGTTGCAGAGTAGAACTGTAATCTACAGGGTTTTCATGGCTGTGCAGCATGAAGCAGATCACCAGGCCTTTCTTCTGAGGTGCCTCTGGGTAGATTCTAACCACCGACCTTTCGGTTAGTAACCAAGCACTTAACTGTTTGTGCTACCCAGGACTCCAAGGGATGAATTGTGGGATTATATATTCACCTTTTTTCATTTTGAGGGAGAATAATTTCTGTATATTAACTCTTAAAATATCCTGGAACCTCTGTTAGCATCTATGTTTTTTTTCAATAAACAAGATAATTTTATACATTAAAACAGTCAAACACTATGTAATTTTTATTCAGGAAGGTTTCTTAATACTATCATATAGTTAAACAATTAGTTTAAAAAAAAACAATGACACTGCAGTCTATGATGAATTTCTGAGACAAAAAATTTACTAAAACTGAAAAGAAGAAATACATCTGAATAGAAACTGAATTTAAGAATCTCTTCACAAAGAAAATTACAGGTTCAATCAACATTCACGTAAATTCTTTCAAACATTTAAGGAAGAAATATTACCAATATTACACAATTTATCCAGAGGATATACAAAGAAGGAACACATTTGAACTCTTTTTAAAAGGTCGATATTCACCAAAATCACAATAAAAAATAAACAAAAATTTAAATAAGTAGAAGGTCAGCATTGTCTACAATTGACAGAGAAATCATAACAAAGGAAAATTGCTGACTAATATCTTACCATCATCGATACAAAAATTCTAAAATATATATTAGCAAATCAAATCCAACAGTGTATAAAATGAATTACATCACAAGAAAGTGGAAAACATTTAAAGAATGAAAAATTGGGGTAGCATCAGTCAGAGTAATTCACTACATTTACAGAAGAGAGGAGAAAAACCATATGATGGTCTCAATAGAACCAAAGTATTTAATATATTTTAACATTCAACTCAAGATAAAAATTCACAGCAAGCTAGGAATAAGTGGTGTGGTAGTTTGAAAAATGCTCATAAATCCTTTGACATATTTCCCATCCCAGAGGTTTGGACTCGTGTCTTGAATTCAATACAATAAAAATAAAATTCCAGCAAACTTTTGTAGAAAATTGACAAGTTGATTCTAAACTTTATATGGAAATCCAAAGTTTCTAAAAACCAAAAACCAAAGTCAGTTATGACTCATAGCTACCCTATAGCACAGAGTAAAATTGCCCGATTGAGTTTCCAAGGCTGTGAATATTTATGGAAGCAAATTGCTTCATCTTTCTCCTGCAAAGTGGCTGGTAGGTTCAAATTGCCAACCTTTTTCATTTAGCAGCCCAACGCTTTAACCACCGTGCCACCAGAGCTCCTCCAAAAGATTTAGCATATGCAAAAAAGAAGTTAGAGGATTTTTACTACCAGATTTCAAGACTTAATATAAAACATCCCTAGGAGCTCTGGTAGCATAGTGCCTAAGGGACTTGACTGCTAACCAGAAGGCTGATATTTCAAACCCACCAGCTATTCCTTGGAAGAAAGATGGGGCAATCTACTTCCATAGTGATACTACCTCGGAAACCCAAGGAGGGGTCGCTATGAGTCAGATCTGACTCGATGGCAGTGAGTTGGCTTTTGGAAGTCAATACAAGGATAGATTTTAAAAAGTAGATGATAGAAAAGATGAAAAAGAGCAGAAATATTTCTACAGATCTATTGATAAGGAATTGAGGTTCTTTAAATGGCTCTAATACTATATATGTTTAAATTTTTCATAGTTAAATGTTAGGATAAATAAATAAATAATAGAGCACCAAAAACAAAATAACAACAGAAAAATAAATTATAAAATAATCATTAATATAAGAATACCCTGGGTAGTACAAACAGTTAAGTGCTCTACTACTAGTTGAAAGGTTGGAAGTTAAATCCACACGTTGTTGTTGTTGTTGTTGTTATGGGCCGTCGAGTCGGCCCCGACTCATAGCGACCCCTCCTTGGGTTTCCAAGGCAGTATCACTACGGAAGTAGATTGCCCCATTTTCCTTCCAAGGAGTGGCTGGTGGGTTTGAACGGCCAGCCTTCTGGTTAGCAGTCAAGTGCCCTAGGCACTATGCTACCAGAACTCCTTCGAATCCACACATAGGCGCCTTAAAAGGCAAGCCTGGTTTTCAGGTCACAGCCTTAAAAACCCTACTCTGCCACACAGGAGTTGTCAAAAGCAAGAATTCCCTCAATAGCAACTAATAACAACAACAAAGCAGACAACGTCCTCAGCAACAGCCCTGAGGTAAATTTACTAGCAGAGCTTATTAAGTGAAGTTCAATAATTTCATAAGGGACCCACTAAGACTTACGTTTTTTAAATCATTTCCATATTATCCTAGTTTCATTATCTCTAAACAAAAAATGAAATTCCAATGAATTTTAGGTTTGTTTGTTATAAAAACAATTATTAAAAAGTGTTACATACCACTAGATTCTAAAATATCTTATATTGATCAAGAAAATTGAATAACCTCAAGATTTTACTTTGGTTTACCTGGTTGCTGCGTTTCCCATCTTACTGTGAAGCCTCTCTCGTTTCTTAAATGCTCAGAATACAAATGAAAATAGAGAGCATTGTCACTGCTGAACAGTTCAGGAGGAGGGCTGGAGCCACAGAGTCTTCCAAGTTGGAATCCTGCGGAGGATTCTCCATCATAAATCTGAAGAAACTCCTGGGGACAGTTGTCCACTGATTCTAATCGGAAAAAAGTGAAAGTGATGCGCAAGACCTAAAAAGATAAAGATATATTATTTTTTATTTGCATGTTAATCCTAAAGTATTTCTCCCATTAACTAGGAAATATTCAGAGCCAGTTTCAACACATATATCTATAATTTTCTAATTTTCCACAGATATACATTAGAATTCTATATAATAAATGGCTGGCAAAAATTTCTAAGACCAAACTTAGCTGATATCAAAATGTATCAAAAATCTTAATATTAATGAAATAGATTTATTTAGATTTTATTAAACTATCCAGTCCATCAAACAAAGGCACTTCAAATGTATAGCTGACAATGTTTCTAAATACAGTAAAATAAATTGGACATTTGAAAAATTTACCTTGAATTAAGTTTAACTGGCTAATATTGCCATTCACAATCATTTATATCCTGATTACGGGAATCATTGTACCACATATTCTACACATAGTTGCTCATCAGTGACCCTCAGAGATACTTCATGAACCTCTCAGCAAAATCATGAACCTCTCAGTAAAATTCCGATGCCCAGCCCAGATTAACAATTTGAAATGTAGACTTTGGCTATGGCAAGTGTAAGTCTAAATAGTAAACGTAAGCCAAGTATATTAACTGTTTGCACCAGAATGGGTAATTCCAAGGGATGAGAATAGGGCAAAGGTAAATACTTTGAAAGTGTTGAGCATATACAAGTGAATTAATTAATATAACAATGTGTCTTAGAGTTGATATATAGTAATAAAATTAATATAATTGAAAGATAATATACTAACAATTTCATTTAAACTCATAAAAAGCTATTAAATTTTATTTCCATTATAACCTAAAATCACCACCATATGTGATGAAAAATAATACCAGGATATTTTTGAAATTCTATGCTAGGGTATTTTTAAGATTGGTTATCCAACATTTTTTAATTTTCACCTTTGAAACAATTCCAATGAAAATCAAATATATGCTCATGAATTAAGTTATCCAGATTTTTATACACAGATTTTTCCCCTATATTATGTATATTATGGTGCAAAGAAAATATAAATTCATAATAATCAAGAAAATGGTATAAATTTTCTCACAAACTTGTAAAAATGTGTTTACAATTTTTAACAAGAATTTTTTTCTCAAAAGGAAAATGTTTTCTAATGTCAGTAAGTAGAATTTATAAAAATTAAATGGAAATTTACATAACATAGCCACTGAGAAATTTATTTTGGACTTTATTCTATTGTGAGGTCACCATGCCCCAAAGTACCCTTCTCCTCAAAGAAAAAAAAAAAAAATGTTTTCTGACTCTTTTTTGGAATGACCTGTGTAATATTAATTTGCTGGAAATAGTTAATAGAATTTCAAGATAAAACCTTATCTACTCAGAGACAGTACTTTAATTTACTGAGTCCAAGAATTTGTTGAGAAATAGAAAAAAAAAGGAATTTGTTGAGAAATAAATATTTTTAAAATCTGAGTAATTAATGTTCAGGATAAAAACACAAAAACTGCAGGCTCAAACGTTATTTTGAAGAGTGTTTGTGTAGCAGCTAAGAGCATAGGCTTTGGAGTAGAATGGCCTAGGTTTGAGTCACCGCATGCCACTCACAAAATCACATGAACTTGGAAAAATTTCTCAGCTTCTCTAGGCTTAGTTTCCTCATTGTAAAACTAGGATAATAACTCCTATCCTTCAGGGTTATTAGAGTTAAAAAAATACAATAATGTAATATATATAAAGTAGTAATTAGCATATCACCTGGCACAGAAAAGACATTTAATAAGTATGCCATCTTAATATTAGTCACCAGTATAATCAACATAATACTGAGTGATCTCCTTCATGCACTACCAATTCAGTAACAACATGACTTTACTAATTAACTACAGTACTGGCTTGCTGTCTGTTAACAAGCATAGACAACTATTTTGTCCATATGGGCAAAGCATGGACTTTGGAACCAGTAAAACTTGACTATGAAATCCAAGTATTCCAATCACAAGCTAAGGAGTGCTTTTAAAAATTACTGATCTTCTTTTAGTTTCTATTATCTCATCTATAAAATGAGGATGCTGTACCTTATTTCAAAGAATTAGTATAAGGTTAAAGAAACATGTACAAAATATCTAGCCCAAAGCCTGGTACTTGGTAAGTGCTCAACATACAATAGTTGAAATATAATTATATGTACTGTAAATAATATATCTGGCATATTCATATACTTAATAGGATATAGTCATATATATAAATGAAATGTAAACTTGGATGAGAGATACTGCACTTACCTTTCCCTCTTCAGTTCGGATAACCCAGAAGCAGTTAACATCATGAACATAACCAGTAGCAGGACTATTATAGCTGAAGGTTCCATTCCACCCTGACAGTGACCCTCCACAAACTGCAAAGGAAAAGAAGATGCACTATGCTTTTCAGAGACTCCTGAAAAGAAGATGCTAGGCAAATCTAACCCTGGTGCTGAAATACTTAGAAAAGTCTGAGTAATTAATGTTGAGGGTAAAACCATCGCCATCCCTTCTTCTCGTTCCTTTTTTCCTGTCAACACCCACCCCTTGTTCAAGATGCAGTTGATGTCCCATCCCATCCTCCATGACTTCCCCTGACTCTTTTCTCTGACTTTCATCCTCTATATGTCTATGACACTTAACTTTGTCCCACAAAATTTAGTTCTGGTCTTTATTTCTTTTATCTTCTCTGCTATTTTGTGTTAGTCTTGCCATCTCAACTGGAAGGTATGCAGGTGGAGACAATATTTTACACTCTCATATTTTCCCACAGGGTTTATCATAGCCCTCAACACATAGTGAAAGATAAATATGTGTTGATGCAGAATCAGGGGTGATAAGTGAGGGGTGGCACAGTCAGATGAGGCTTTATAAAGAAAGATGGATTTGATGTACTCTTGGGGATAGGTACATTTGTGGGAAGGAAAAGAGCCATTTGGAGAGGGGAGAAATATCCTAAATAAAGGAACATAGTACCAATATACATGAGTGGCACATTGGGTCAGGTATCTGGCTTGAATGGGAGTGTTTTCAGGAAACTAGTGAAAAATAAAGTCAGATGGGTAGGGTGAGGCCTGATTAAAGAGCATACTGAAAATTAACCTGATCTTCTTTTAACAGGCAATGAGGAACATGGTATATTATAGAGCAGGAGAATAACATGATTAAGTATAGTATTCTATGGAAATTAAAGGGATACTACATAAAACTACTACTACTGTCCCATAGAAAAGAATAAAAGGGAATACCTTCATATATTTTATTTTCAGAATGAAAACAACAAACATTAACTTAAATCTTCTTTTGAAGAAAAACTTTTTCTGGTTTAAATTGAAATATATAAATGTTTTACCTGTGAATTCTATATCATTTCTGCAAGGAAAGACTTAATTCTAATTATTTGAGCAAGTGGACAAGAAAGTGCATTCAGTAGAATTGCAGAACTCACTAAAGGATGATACTCTAAAACTGTGAACATCTGTGGTCTATAAAAGGCTACCCCTACCTTGTTGGGGAATGTGACAGCGAGATCCAGTCCAGGCACTGGTGCATTCACAACTGAAACCATTAACGCCATCAACACAAGAGCCCCCATTCAAACAGGGGTTGCTCAAACACTCATTGATATTTTCGGTGCAGTTGATACCAGCCCAACCTGGTTCACATTTACAAACATAACCAAAGACTGTTTCCTATGGAAAGCAAAAGAATAATGCCATACAATAGAAGGATAGACAATAAATCTGAATTAACCAAAATAGAAAAGAGGTGCTATGTGATATTTTTAAACAGATGTTGAACCATAATAAGCATATTGTCCAGTACCCTAGCTTATGGTGAATAAGTTTAAATGATAATTCCCAAGCAGACAGGTTTATTTGGATAAAACTATAGGCTATGTTTACTACTTTGTAAATCACTAAGAGAAAACACACTAACTCTATTTTTTCTGGGAACTAAAATTACAACTTGCCTTTTATCTGACAGTTATTAACAGTTCCTGATTTTAAGCTTGAATCATAACTCTATATTCGTGAATAATATAGAAAATATATTTCCTAGAAATGAAACTAAAATTATCCTCAAGTTTTCTATTTTTTAGAACAAAAGACTCACGATGCATTGTCCATTTAAACAGGGGTGACTGAGGCATATATTACTGAGTTGTACACATCCATTAGGCCCATGGCCATTTCCAGTATATCCAGGGAAACAGGTACAGAGTGGTAAGGAACCTGTTCAGATACCAAAATAGAGGTGTTAATATAAGCCACCTATATCCAGTAACTAAACTCAGATTTTGCTGTATAGATAAAAAAAAAAAAATCTCCAAAATCTTCAAACTCCTGGGAGCAGACAAGATAAGACAGGGCAAGAAAATATTAGATTCTTCGTTTTTCCATTTTTTATCTTAAAAGTAAAAAAAAAAAAACACATTAAAATGTTTAAACTTAATATATCAATTGACATTGATGCTGTCAATCTGTATGTCAGATGATCCTCAGTCAGGTAATAAGGAGAGAGGGGAGATCCTCACCATGGAAGGGCTGACAGCAGCAAAAGAGTATTCTTCTTGTAATGATGGTATAGGCTGTCAGCATGTTACATATATTGACTGAATGAATCCTCTCACCACAAAAAACTCTGTTGCTTTCAAATCAATTACAACTCAAAATAACCCAATAGGACAAAGTGGAATTGCTCCACAGAGTTTCAAAGGCTGTAATCTTTACAGAAGCAGACTGCCACATCTTTCCTGCAGAGCAGTCAGTGGGTTCAAACCAATGATCTTTTGGTTAACACTCATCCACTTAACTACTGTGCCACCAAGACTCCTTTTAATCCTCTCAAAACCAAACGAAATCAGGTCGCAGGAAACATCAAGCTCAACAGGCATTAACACACTACACAAAAACATTGTTACACATCCTACTTTGCAAAGTAGAGACCAGGATCTTAAAAGTTTGCAAGTGGCCATCTAGATGCAACAATGGGTTTCTCTTTGTCCAGAGCAAAGAAGAATGAAGAAAACCAAAGATGAATGGAAAAAATTAGTCCAAGGGACTGGTACACCATGCAATCCTCAGCCTATCTGACTATGAGACAAAAAGAACTAGATGGTACCCATCTACCACTGTCAACTACTCTGAGGGGGATTTATGTAGGAGACCCAGGAAAGAGTGGAAGAACAATGTGGAACAAAATTCAAAATTATTTTTAAAAAAGTGGGGGGGGGGGACCAGATTTGCTGGTCTGACAGAGTCTGGTGGAAACCTTGAAACTATGGCATGTAGCTGCCTTTCAAGTCTGGAATTGGACCCACTCCTGTGGCTTTCAACCAAACAAAAGACGGGCATGTGAGCTGAACATTTACATCAGCTAGATACACTCCTTGGAGAGATCAATCATGGGAGAATAGAAGGGCTATGTATGCACAGGGAGACAGAACAGGGGCCAGGAGTGTGTGGGAGGGAAGGACACAGGGAAGAGGTAACTATGGGGAGGAAGTGGGAAGAGAACTGTTGCATTGTAGGAAACTGCACTCAATGTCATGAGACAAAGTGTATGTGAACTGCTGTGTGGAAAATGAATTTGCTCTGTAAACTGTCACCCAAATCACGACCAAAAAAGAAAAGAAATCAAACTCACTGTCATTGAGTCAATTCCAAATCATAGTGATTCCCACTGGGTTTTCAAGGCTATAAATCTTTATGGAAGCAGACTGCCTCATCTTTCTTCTGCACAGCAGCTGGTGGGTTTGAACTACTGACCTTTTGGTTAGCACCCAAACGTAACCACTACAACACCAAAGCTCTTTTTAACACTCTCAAAAGCCCTATACCGGTAAGGGGAGAGAGAGCCCCCACCCAGGCAGGAAGTAGGAATCCAGGGCAGATGGCTGGATATAAGTAAGATGGGAGAAAGTCCCTAATAGGAGGCCTATTAAATACATGCTATTATCATCCCCATTCTACAGATGAAGAATTTAAAACACGAAGAGATTAAGTATCTTGACCAGATACACACCTAGAAGATGATAGAGGCAAGAGGGAAACTCAAGCAGTCGATCTCCAGAATCTACAGCTATTGTTGTTATGTGCCATCCAGTCAGACCCGACTCATAGTGACCCTTCCTTGGGTTTCTGAGGCAATATCACTACAGAAGTAGATTGCCCCATCTTCCTTCTAAGGATTGGCTAGTGGGTTTGAACCACCAGCCTTCTGGTTAGCAGTCAAGTGCCTTAGGCACTACGCTACCAGAGCTCCCAATCATGTGATAATTAGCCAAAGTCACAAGTATACACACACCCATATATACACATATAAGAATTCACTGCCGTCGAGTTGGATCCAAATCATAGTGACCCCTCCTTGGGTTTCCAAAGTGGTATCACTATGGAAGTAGATTGCCTAGTCTTCCTTCCGAGTCGTGGCTGGTGGGTTTGAACCTCCAGCCTTCTGGTTAGCAGTCTAATGCCTTAGGAACTGCACCACCAGAGCTCCCTATACACATGTATATATACACATAAATACATACACATAAACACACCTATATTCATTTCTGGGAGCTCTGGTAGCATAGTGCCTAAGGCACTTGACTGCTAATCAGAAGACTGGTGGATCAAACCCACAGCCAGTCCTTGGAAGGAAGATGGGGCAATCCACTTTCGTAGTGATACTGCCTCAGAAACCCAAGGAGAGGTCACTATGAGTTGGGTCTGACTAGACAGCACACAACAACAACAACATATTCATTTCTATATTCATATATCCACCACTTGTCTGTCATTCTGTCATACTGTGGACATTTGCGTGTTGCTGTGAGGCTGGAAGCTACGCTACTGGAATTTCAAAAACCAGCAGGGTCACCTATTATAGACAGGTTTCAGCAGAGCTTCCAGACTAAGATAGACTGGGAAGAAGGAAGGGGCCATCCACTTTGTAAAGAATTGGCCAGTGAAGTGGAGGGTCAGTGAAAAAGGGGAAGACCCTCAGTGAGATGGATTGACACAGTGCTGCAACAATGGGCTCATGTATAGCAAGTATTGTGAGATTGGAGCAAAATGAGGTAGCGTTTCATTCTGTTGTACATAGGGTTGGTATGAGTCAGAGCCAAATTGATGGCACCTAACAACAACAACATATTCATATACATATATGGCTGGCAGTTCAAACCCACCAGCCACTCCTCGGAAGGAAAGTTGGGCAATCTACTTCCATAATGATACCGCCTCGGAAACCCAAGGAGGAGTTGCTATGAGTCAGGTCCGACTCGACAGCACATAACAACAGCAACAAATATATATATATGTTACATATATATATATGTGTGTATATATACATATTTGTTACATATATACATATACATGGCTGGTAGGTTTGAACCGCCAGTCTTCTGATTAGCAGTCAAGTGCCTTAGGCACTATGCTACCAGAGCTCCCAGAAATGAATATAGATGTGTTTATGTGTAAGTATTTATTTGTGTATATATAAATATATGTTGTTGTTGTTGTGTACCGTCGAGTCACACCTGACTCATAGTGACCCCTCCTTGGGTTTCTATATATATATAACACATATATATTTGTTGATGTTGTTATGTGCTGTCGAGTCGGACCTAACTCATAGCAACCCCTCCTTGGGTTTCCCAGGTGGTATCGCTACGGAAGTAGATTGCCCAACCTTCCTTCTGAGGAGTGGCTGGTGAGTTTGAACCGCCAGCCTTCTGGTTAGCAGTCAAGTGCCTTAGGCACTATGCTACCAGAGTTCCCAACATAGATAGATAGATAGATAGATGATAAGTTAGTAAAAAAAATACAGGTGGTATTTTGAGATAGCAATAGGTATAATTCATTACTCAAAAAACTGAAATGAGTCAATCCTTCTAGGAAAAAAATCAAGCTAAATCGCTCCATGATGATGTAAATAAAAATTAATCTTAAAAAGATCAAAGATCTTAATAATGAAAATAAAACTATAAAAGCATACAAGAAAATGTATTTGACTCTTCAAAAAGCATTCAGTAGGGGAGGTCTTCTAAACATGACACTCAAAGGTGAAACCATAAAAGAAAAACTTGATCTTTTTGACTACATTGAAAATTTGAACTTCTGAATCAAAAATATCACCACAAATTAAAAGAAAAACTACATGCTAGGAAAAATACTTGTAAAACATAAGACAGATAATGACTTATATAATGAAATTTAAAAAATCAATAAGAAAGATTAAATCAAACCAAACTCACTGCCATAGAATCTGATCCAACTCATAGTGACCCCTCCTTGGGTTTCCAAGGCAGTATCACTATGGAAGTAGACTGCCTAACCTTCCTTCCAAGGAGTGGCTGGTGGGTTAACCCAAGAAAAATGAGCAAAGAACTTTAGCAAATGGAAAAACAAAACAAACAAATAGCCACTAAAAATGTGAAAAGACTTAATTACTGATCAACAGTAATCAAAAAGTACAAATTGAATATTGGAGAACAACTTTTTGCCTATAAAGTTGGCCAAGGTTAAAAATAATAATAGTATTCATTATTTTAAAGAGTGAAGTAAAATAAGAGTTTAATATACTCTTAATGATTATAAAAATTAGTATAAGATTTTTGGTAGAAAAATTAACAATATATTAAAAAAAAAAAAAAAACTCTAGGCAGTGAATTCTCTTTTACACAGTATTGTAGACACTGCCAACTATCATCCTAGCTAGATCCATTTTTCTCTTTTTTAGCTGTGGCATCAACTCCATGACCATTAACAACAACTTCTTATGTTTGGCTTGATTCATAGTTTCCGGGGCACGGGGAGGGTATACCCCAGACTCTTCTGCAGATGTGTAACCATGTGGCTTAGTTCTGGCCAATGGCATGGAAATGGAAGAGTCCTTAAATGGAAGTGGCATGTGCTTCTCCCTCCCTTTCTTCTCTCTTGCTGGCTTAATTACTTTGGAGAATCATTCCTCAATTAGAGTGAATCATTAAAAAGCAATAAAAATAATTTAAATGTTAATTTTCCAATAAAAAATAATCTAAATGTATAGATTTATAATACGGATTAACTTTTTGGTTGAATATCAAAATAAAAACTTTGAAGACAAAGGATTATGTATTTTCTAACTGTTGATTTGTTCTAGAAGGTCATACTAAAATATCCACAACCAGGAGAGATGAGCGTTACCTAGAACCGAGGAGCATGAAGCATGGGGGTGGCAGCCTCCATTGTTGACCGAGCAGATGTCTATGAGTGTGCACACTCTCCCATTGCCCTGGTACCCTGATCAGAGCAAAAGCAGAGTCAATGAGGAACAATGTTAATAATATGTCAGAAGGAGAACCAATCTGAGAATCAAATAACATGAACCAGATAAATCAACAATCCTCTTCATCAAAACAGAAAAAGTAAATAGAAAGTGTCATAAACAAATAAAATCCCTAATGATATGAACAAGAATTAGGAACTTGATTTCAGAGATAACGTTCTAGGTTGTTTATCACAGAAAAAGATATATAAAACTATGGGTAGACTCAGGAAGTGCTGACACTGAGGAATTTGACTTTTTTTAATTACAATGACTCTGATATTCTTAGAGCTAAATTACTATAGAAGTCCAAAGTACTGTTGTTTCATGTTCTTAATGCACAGAGGGTTTCAGTTTATACCCTAGAACTCCCTGAACTAAATTGAGTTGGATAGCAACTCAATTTAGATTAGAGAATAGTGATAATGACTTCATTCCGTAAGAGAAGGGAAACAAACGTGTTTTGTATGCCTACTGGCAAGGTTTTTATTTAATAAACTTTATATGTAAACCATCTCAAGAGGGCATGATATTAATAAATTATTTGTAGGAATAATGTAGCAGTAGATCAGTGATCACAGAGAAAATGTTTCAAATTTTGCATTATCTCAGTAAGGTATTTCAAAATTTATAAAGGTTATTGTTTTTTATTAATATTGAAAATATTTTTTATGTCTTACTTATAAGAAAGCTATACTAATGTACCCTGAATCTACAAATAAAGTAAAACTTTCTGCACTCTCAGTTCCTTTCCTTAGACAGGAATCATATTTGAAATGAAACACAAGATATTTATCAAATACACACTTTGTCTTTAAAAGTTTTGGGAAATGTAGTGCAGTACCTGGTGGACAGGACTGACAGTGGGAAGATCCAGGTGTATTCACGCACTCCACAGGAGGAACCACAGAACAGCCCCCATTATTTATTTCACATTCATTGATATCTTGGCAATTGTATCCATTTCCTCGCCAACCTAGAAAAATGAGATCTGAAAGGTCAAAAAACAAAGAAATGCATATAGGCAAAAACATATAAAGCCTGCTCAACTCAAGGAAGGATAGATTAAAAGGTAACAATACCAATGAGATAGGCAAAATAATAATAATAATAATAATAATAATAATTAATGTTTTAGAATCCAGTTCTTGGCGGAAGAATCAGGTACTCTCACAACCTACTTGGTAATTATTGTTTTATTATAATAACACACTTGGTAAGAGTTCTGACAGTACACATCAAAATTTTTTAAATACATAAACTTTAACTAACAAGCCTACTTTTTGATTTTTTTTATTCTATACTGATAAAACTACCAGTATAAAAAGATATAGGTAAGAGGATATCTTTTGCAGTATTGTTTAATTGGGGAAAGAGGGGGAAGAGGGAATACTCCTCAATGATCAATAGAGACATAGTTGAATATATCATACCTCATATAGATCACTGAATACTAAAACCTATTTTTAATAACATGCACACATATATGCTCACACACACATACTAAAAGAATTTCTTCCTATATATTTTAATTGAAAATACCACATTTTAGAAAAATATGCAAACTATGATCCCATTTTGAAAAAAAAAAAAAACCTGTACATTTGTCTATATGTTTGTATGAACAAAGGAGTGGTACAGTGTTACAAACATTTGTGAATAGTATTCTCATCAAGAGCACGAGATTGATGGTGAAAGAAGAAAATACTTAATTCAGACATTTCTGTTTTATTCAAATTGTTAAAATGGCTTGTATTACTCTTATAATTCAAATTATTAAAATTATGATTAAAAAAAAAAACCTCACTGCTGTCGATTTGGATCTGACTCATAGTGACCCCTCCTTGGGTTTCCAAGGCAGTATCACTACAGAAGTAGATTGCCCAACCTTCCTTCCAAGGAGTGACCAGTGGGTTTAGACTGCTAGTCTCTGGTAGCAGTCAAACTCCTTAGGCACTAAAGTCTGTTGAAGCCTATAAAATATTTATAGCCTTTGCTCTAAATAGAGTGTCCATCTAGGAATCTATGTAAGAAAATTATCACATGCGTAGGTGAAGAAATAAGCACACAGAAAAACAAAAAAATTGGAATGAAATATGCCCAGATGTTATTGGTGGTCCTTTGAGTAATAAAACTTAGAATATTTTTTTCTGGGCTTTTTTCATATTTTTTATAGTTTCTTTATATTTCATAGCTGTATACATTATTTTGTTATCTAGGGAAAAATAAGGTGATTAATAGGAAAATAAAAATATTTTATTTCTCTTCTTTCTCCCAAACAAAAAAGAAAATTTAAGAACACATTGCCCATTCTATAATTTAAACAGTTTATTTTTCTAAATTTTAGTTTTTAAAGTTTAAACCCTAAAAAATCCCAAGCCCAATGCCATCGAATTGATTCTGACTCATAGGGACCACCACTGAGTTTCCAAGGTGGTAAATCTTTACAGAAGTAGATTGCCCAGTCTTGCTTCCACAGAATGGCTGGTGGGTTTGAACCACCAACCTTCTAGTTAGCAGTCAGATGCCTTAGGCACAGTGTTACTGGCAAATCACTTTCAAAAATATTACTATTTTTACATTTCACTTGCTCTTGAGAACTAGGAAAGTAAAAAGTCTTTCCTATTTTTTTTTCTTCCAATTTCTTTCTAGTTTTACCAAATCTAAACTTATAAACATGCAGAAAAACTACTAAACCAACAGACTTACTAAGTGGAGCAAAGGTGTGTGGGTTTTCTTTAAGCGAGTCAGAGTAATGGAGTGTTTAGCAGTTCAACTTGACTCCAAAGTCAGGCAGACTTGGGTTTGAATCCTGGCTACTTATAAGCTATGTGACCTTTGGCAAGTTATTTAACCTCTTGAAGCCTCCAGTTCTCATTTCTAAAATGAGAATAATAATAATTCCTACCATTCTTGCCGTTTCAAGAACTACAACAAAATTGCTTAGCACAGTGCCTTAATGACATTTTCGTAAAAGAGTAGTTGCTATTATTGTATTCTCTTTGTGCTCCACTTTCTTAGAATACCCTGGGACTGCAGGCAGGCCTTGTCAGCTCTCTGAGGTTGTGGCCTATGTCTTGTTATTGGATTACCATTGCATCCAGCCTAGCACTTTGCTCACAGTAGGTGCTCTATAAATATGTGAATGGAAGGTGTGGAATGAAGTTTGGACTCAAATCCAGGCAGCCTCTGAATCGAGCTAGGGTCCATATTTTCAGAGACTCAGCTCAAGGCCTCCCCTGGAGATTCAATGTCTGTAGATGTGTGACTGAGCTGTCCATTGCTATATATAACAAGGTCTCAGACTATTCTAATGCATAGGTCCAATTGAGAACTATTGGACTCTAGTTGAAACACTAAGAGGCCAAAAAATTTGACAAAGTTTACAAACATTCGTTTGCATGAAAAGCGAGACTAGAGGACATATCTTCTGATCTCAAGTCCACTCAGTTGATGGCCATAGCAATGAAATGTTTGACTTCACAAACTCAATGGCCAACCCTGTCCCAAAGTTTAACTCTTACCAGTCAAAGATTATTTTGGACTAATCTCCTTTTTTTTGTTAACAAATTGTGACAGTACTAAGATAACATTGAATCCTGAATACTCATTAGCTATATGATTTTGACCAAGTTATTTAACCTCTTTAAGCCTGTAGGCTTAAGTAAGTGAAACAGGACATGAAACTGGATTTTAACACCTCCTGAGAATGGTCTTATCGACCATCAGTAGTGGAAGGAAATTGGTTATTGCCCTTTGCCTGCATGGCATGCAGAGGTTGAGGGCTTGGCCCATAGCACTGAGAACAGTGGCTCTAGCAGGGAGTGAATGAGTCCACATACCTGGTGGACAGGCTCCACAATAGAAAGAGCCTAGAGTGTTGAAACACTGCACAAGTGATGAACAAGGTGTCGGCGTAAGGCTGCACTCATCTATGTCCAGCGTGCAGGCAGAGCTGTTTGGTGGAGACATCCATCCAGCATCACAGACACAGCTGTATTTTGGCTGGCAGGATGACAGCAGCATGGATTAAAAACAATCAAGAAAATGAGCAAGAAGCAGCAAAACCAAAAGCTCTGTGAAAATTTTACCGAGACTCAAACTGTTTATCCTCTAACATTCATGTTTGTAAGACCAATTGAGTGGCTTCTCTTTTTTCTCCCATATGATAAGGCATGTACAAGAGACCATGCAAAAAGGGCAGCGTCTTTATTTCAGAGTAAGAGAAACCTGTAATTTGCCCCAAAAATACCAGGGAAAAAGCAACAACAATCAAGAACTGTAGGTCAATATAATTAAAGTCAATCAACTCAGCAAGCTCTGATTTTAGAGAAGAAAACACTCATGTAGGCATAGACCTTGGGAAATCAATTCTGTTTGTTTCTGTTTTGAAAGTCTCTCTTTTGCCCCACCCCATGCCATCATTGAAAGGGAAAATGTTCCATCACAGGGATAGGAAAAAAAGAGAACTCAAAGTAATGAATGAAAGCTCTTAGACAGGGCCAAACTGCAGGGGTTGGGCCATCTTAAGTGTCAGGAGTGAAAGTTGTAAGGTCCCAGAGCAAAGGGGTAGGGCACTGAGGGAAGTGGGTTCATAGTGTCTGCAGCACTCACAGGGGTTCGTGGACCAGAAAAATTCCTTGTCCTTAAAATTGCATTAATAAGACCAGGCCTTCTGTACTTTCATGTCTCATCACTGGTAACACTCATGAGGCCAAGACAAGACATGTCTCACTGATAGATTCATGAATAATAATAAAAGTAGCAGAATTGTGTGTAATCAAATCTTAACCCCTGGGTCCACTTTTCTGCTCACTTATGTACAACATTTATTTCCCCTCTTCAGATGTACACTGATAAAAAGCAGGAAGTATCTTCTTCACCTTTACAGATGCACAGGATAGTGTTTGTCATACAGGTAGTCCTTGTCTTACAAAGTATTCCAGTTACAATAAACCATACTTAAGACAGTTCATTTTCACGTGTCTGTGCATTTTATTATTAGTGATATGTAGTATGTACAATGTATTAGTGTATAATTTGCTGATGTTATCATTATCTATAAATTTATATGTAATGTTTCCAACCCCCAAAGACAAATAACTATCAAATTTATAAAGATACTGGTAATAAAAGGCAATAGTAATGAAACCTTAAAATAATATATAGGTATTTGACTTACCTCAGAACCAACTTACAATGGAGTCATCAGAACAGAACCCTGTCATAAGTCAGGGACTACCTGTACAATCATCACAGGATGAAGAATTAACAAGCTTGACACCCTATGAGGAATCACCTTTAGGGAAGGGACCCACCTCTCCAGCCTGAACTCGGACTGAGTCTTCACAAATGCCATGGACACAGTTCACCTTAGAGCCCAGTTCACAGTCATTGTATTTGGATGCACACTGGGGTCCATATGTATCAGGTGAGCAACTACAACTGTTGGTTACATAAGAAAACAATTTCAGAACCTGTACTTTTTCTAAGCATACACAAAATAATTCAATTGCAAATCAATGATATTACATAAACCAGCAGTGTACACCTACTGGAAGACAATCACGCTGCTCTGCTTCATGTGATGGAGTAAATGTGCTATCTTTTCACACACAGGGTTTGAGGAGCATCAGTTTACTATCTGGGCAAGACTAAATTTTCTTCGTATCAAGTCATCAAGCAGTGAGTGACTTCAAAAGACAGACATCTATTAAGCAAGGGTGTCTTAAGTGAACTTTTAAAAGTGATGAAGTTAGGTCAAGGAGGTAAAGACAGAGATCACCAACGATATTCATTTTCCATCTAACTGGACCCCTAAGTAAGCACATATGACCTTGACTAAACTGACAAATTCCCAAATGCCCTCTACAATTATATACCCCCCCACACACATCAATTTGATTTCAGACAAATGAGTAATATTTTGTAAGGTCTATGCAATATAAGTTAATATATAATTATTAAAAACTGATTTATTGTTAAATAACATTTCTGATCATTTGAAAGTTACCTCCTCATCAAGACAATGTCATAGATCAGTGCCAATAAATTATTAAACGTAAGGAGAAATTCAATCATTCATTCCTACCCATAAGTGCTCTGCTTCCTCTGTTTCTCTTTTCACACTTTCACTCTCTTTTTCTAGTCCCTTTCTTCTTCCCCCTTCCCATCCCTACAAGGAATATACTTTCAGAGAATTTAATTAGATTCCTGGGGACTGTAGAACTCTATAGCATTTCATATACATATTTGGGCACTTGACCCAGGTAGCTTCATTGCTACAAGTCTCTTCCCAAAGACAGGTTAACTCAAAATGAAAACTAGTTTCATATTGAGGTCTAAAGACAGTCTCTTGCAGGAAGTGCTCAGGAAATTTTATCTTATCACTAATCACTTTACTATTGGAAAAGAGGAGATTCTGGTTCAAAGATCTGCCTTACTTAAATCCTCTCTTATCTCTCTCTCTTCTCTTTCCCTTGCTATTGACAATTGGAGAGGAATAGACTTTAATCCTACACTATTCTCTAAATAGCTACAAAGTATAGTTCTTGCATTTTAGATAATGTGAGAAAAAGAGGAAGGGAGAAAAGAAGCCAAGTACATGGTGTATTTCCTACCAGTGATCCTCAAAGATAACTATTTTTAGTCCCATTTTATAGAGCAGGTTTACATTGCCCAGGACCACACAATTAAAAAGTTGCAGAAGATGAATTAAAACCTAGGTTACACTGTTTGTTTTTTTCACTTAACACTTTTCTGTTCTGAAAGGTACAGTTATTATGAAGACTTTGCATTTTTATGTGTCTTTTTTAACATAACAGTGTTTGCATGCAAAATATATTCTCAAGGTGTCTGCTTCATATCATCTTTTTTTAAAAAATAAAAAGTTATTAATTACATATAGCCTTAAATAAAAAGCCATATATTTTACTCTTAAAAATAAAATACCCCTATTTTTGTCTTAAGGAGCTCTAGTGGCATAGTGGGTAAGATGTTTGGCTGCTATCCAGAAGGTTAGTGGTTCAACTCACCAGTTGCTGCATGAGAAGAAGATAAGGTAGTCTACTTCCATAAAGATTTACAGTCTTGGAAACCCAATTGCTGCGGTCCCCATGTGCTGGAATTGACTCAATGGCAGTGGATTTGGTTTTACTTTTACTAGCTAATTATTTGTTACTGATTTAGCTGAAGTCATTGTAACTTTCTATTGCATATATGGTTCCAGCAAAACAAACCTGGGCTTTTCAGTCTCCAAAACACCGCAAGTGCATTTGGCAATTGAGAAGAGACCAAATATACTTCCATAGTCATAGTTTAAGCTGTGTTTCAGTCTAGGGTTCAGTACTAGTATAATTGATGCACTGAAGGAGGTAACAAGTGCAATACCAAACTAGTGCCTAGGGCTGACAGTTCAAACACTACCAGCCACTTATCCTTGGAAGGAAGACTGGGCAATCTACTTCCATAGAGATACCACCTTGGAAACCCAAGCAGGGGTCACTATGAGTCAGAATCGACTCTACGATAGTGAGTTTTGTTGAGACCTGAACTAAAACCAGTATCAGTATCTTATAAATTCTGCAGTGTTTTGAACAGTAAATCATAAAATTGAACATCTGCAGGTGAACATCTGAGAATAATATAATCAGCAAATTATATGCAGCAACATATTGCTAATGGTAAGGTACAAAGGAAGGAAAAAAAGACAGAACAGTCATAAGTGTGGTTCCTTATAACTCAAACACATCATAAGTCAGGGACTAACCAAACCAAAAAAAGAAAACTCACTGCTGTCAAGTGGATTTCAACTCATAGTGACCCCTCCTTGGGTTTCCGAGGCAGTGTCACTACGGAAGAAGATTGCACCATCTTCCTTCCGAGGAGTGGCTGGTGGGTTTGAACCGCCAGCCTTCTGGTTAGCAGTCAAATGCCTTAGGAACTACACCACCAGAGTTCCTAAGTCAGGGACTACCTGAATATTAATAATCATCATGTTCATGGAAAATAAAAAAAATACAAAAATTAAAAAAAAATCTTTCTCACTCCCTAAAAACTTAGACCTGAGCCCTAAGTACACAACACATGCCAATCATGTATGGCAAGTTCCGATCCCAAGGGATGTCTTAAAGCCAAAATAAGCAGAGACCAATAAGAACTAAATCTTCAAAACAGGGAGTCCAGGCAGCATTGAAAAGAGGCAAACTATCATGCTGTTAGTTATCTCAAGCAGCTGGGGCAAGTTCTGAAGCCACAATAGAAAATCAGTGGAAATAGATCATGTTTTTCCTTGCTCTATTTCCATTGCTCTGGAAAATAATTTTTACCAGAATTTTTTTTTTTTTTAATGAAGGTTTACAAATAATTAGCATTTGCATAATGCTTTAACTTTTCAAACATCTTCACAATTATGAATTTTTAATCCTATTAAATAAACATTCTTATCTCTCTTGAATCCCCAAGTGGTACTAGAAAGTTAAAGGAGGCCCCAAAGGTAAAGCAAACTGCCCATCATGGCCTCATTTCTGCAGGTCCAGATTATTCAACCAGTGGCTCAAGTTTTCCCTTAGCAAATGTCTGTTGAAGTTCTCAAGTGTTTCTTGCCTCAGGGAAGTAACTGATTAACAACAATTTGACCTCACATTCTTTAAAGAACCCAAGAAAGGATCTTAGTGTTCACTGTTTCATAATAACACACGTTCCATGAAGCAAGAATTTAATATTTTGCTTAAGCACATTTTTCTATTTTCTTCCATTACTTCAAAAAGTCTCCCTCTACCATATGCCTGAATTAGGGTACTGAAGGCATAGATAACCAACTGGGATTCATGAAACTTTATAAACTATTTCCATTTCAAGATGAGAAACGTGAATTTAAATGTTCTGCTCTTGAATATCCTCTACCAAATCTATAAGGGTAGAGACTAGAAAACCAAAATTATTTCTAGAATCAGTGCAACAAGTCTTAAGGCTGTTTTTCAAAGGATGGACAAAAAATGTACTAGAGTTAAGCATTTGGTAGATAACTGAAAAGTCAATGGTTTAAACCCATCAGTCATTCTGAGGGAGTAAGATGTGATAGCCCGCTTTTGTAAAGATTTAAGCCTTGAAAACCCTATGGGGCACTTCTACTCTGTCTTACAGGGTCACTATGAATTGGAGTCAACTCAATGGCACAAACCAAGAACCACACAAGAGAGAATTCATTATTGCTCTCACAAATTTAAATCTGTCATATAGGCATCTCCCAACAAATGTTTTCTTTTTCTCTCTCTTGGAATTTCCTAAACCCACTGCCATTGAGTCAATTTCAAATCACAGTGACCCTCACTGGGCTTCCAGGTCAATAAATCTTTGCAGAAGTAGATTGCAGATGTTCCTAGGTGTTCTAAGTGGGTAAATGCTATGGTACTAACAGAAAGATTGGTGATTTAAACCCATTCAGAGGCACCTCAGAAGAAAGGCCTGGTGATCAATTTCTGAAAGGTCACAGACATTGAAAACCTGACAGAACCCAATTCTACTTTGATCCACTTTTATTATTATTGTTGTTGTTGTCATTCTCTCTCTCTCTTTCGATCTCTCATATATATACAACTTTGTTGTTGTTGTTGTTGTTGTTATGTGCCGTGGAGTATATACAACTTTACTATCTTAAAATTCCAACCTTGCAAAATGGCAGAATAGGCAGAAAGTCTGCACAGACCCTCCTCAACAAAGAAAAGGGGAACCAATTAACACAGATACAGAAGATAATCCTGGACCCCTGAGCCTTGAAGGGAAGGATATAAAAGTGGACTAAACTCCAACTAGCAGAAGAATTTGGATGAAAACACCAAAAAAGGAGACATATGGTCTGTTAGTGATCCTGATGGCACAGACAGATTGGATATTGCAAAGTGGTAGTAGGACCTAATAATTAACCCAAAAATCAGACCTGCTAGCCAGGGACTGCACAGAGGACTGATCTGGTGGCTGGGGAATAAGAGGGGAAGCAGCAAAAAGGAAGATGGGCTTTTGTCAGTCTGGAGGGTGCAGCCATTTTGAATGTTTACAAGCTGCTTGACCATTTTGCATATTTAAAGCAACAGCATTCTCCCAGATTCCAGGGACTTAAGAACAGGCTCCACTTGTTGGGAACCCTGAGGACATTCCAAACCAGGACAACTGGAAAGTGGAAGACAGCAACAGTACCCATACAATACAACTACACCCAGACTTCCTGCAGCTTCAGTTACTGAGTGAGAGCCACCACTTCCTTCTCCAAAAACGGACAAGTGATAAACAGCCACCAAGAAGAGCCTGACTCACCCTTGCCTGCTCTTCACAAACAGTTAACAGAGATCTAAATACAACAATGCCATGATGTCTCAGACACAACAGACCATCACAGTCCACACACAGAAGCAAGATAAAGTGGTAGGAACAAGGGAGCAGGATACACA